TGTTACTACACAATTCCACCTAACATACACACAACACACACACACACACACACCCCTAAAAGGCTGAACAACAGAAGTGGAGGGTGAGTGAATTCAAAGCATTTTTAAGCTTTGTACTATTTAGGAGGAGAATAAAGGTATTAATTAACTTTCAACTTCCTTAAGCATGCATTTAGATTTCAAGGGTAACCAATAAAAAGCAGTGTATATCTTCCAAAGCAGTGTGTATCTTCATTTTTTTCCTGTTTTTCTAGCAGAGGAAACAAATGAAAAAAGCAAACACTGAATTCAAAGTATGACAAATAGAAGGTGTGAAAAATAAGATGGTAGAAATAAAGCCAATTTTATCAGTAACTATAATTGTAAATCGACTGAACTCTCCAGTTAAAAGGTATGCTGTTGGACTTCAAAATAAAAACTCACCAAAATCTAGCCATATGCTGTTTATATGAAGAGAACCATTACCATGGTTCAAAAAAAAAAAAAGGGCCAATGTTATGGACGGAAGGTTTGTGCCCAACCCCCCCCCACATTCATATGCTGAAATTCTAACCCCTGATGTGATGATATTAGGAGGTGGGGCCTTTGGAAGGCAAGTAGATCATGAGGGTGGAGCCCTCATGGTGGATTAGTGCCCTTATAAGAAAGGCTATGAGAGCTTTCAGGGTCCTTCTGCTCTCTGCCACATGAGGATACAACAGGAAGACAGCCATCTGCGAACCAGAAAGCAGGCTCACACCAAAGACCAGATGTGCTGGCACCTTGATCTTGGACTTTCCAGCCTCCAGATCTGTGAAAAACAAATGTTTGATGTTTAAGCCGCCCAGTCTACGGTACTTTGTTATTGCAGCCTGAGCTAAGACATGTGAGATGCACCATTTCCACATCTTCTAAAAAAAAGGGGAACCCACAGAAAATGGAAAGAAAATAAAAACAGTAAGAGAAGAAAATAATAACATAAATAAAAGACATAAAACTAAGAGGATCAACAAAACCAAAAGTTGGTTCTCTTAAAAGACTAAAACTACTGTGAAGTCTTTGGTAAAGCTAATATGAAAACGACAACAACAAACACAAAAACACCCAAAAAAACCAAGAGAAGGTAAAATATATGAGTAAAAGAGGAGTACATAGCTACATAGAACAAAAGTTTTTTAAAAACCCCAAACCAGGAACTTTATGCCTATATATTTAAAGTATACAAAATGAACAATTTTCTCAAAAAATTTAACTTATCAAAACTGACTTTAGAAGAGAAAATCTGATAAATACCACAATAATCATTACAAAAATAACCAATAATTTAAAATCTTCCCTCAAAGAAAAGAGCAGGTCTAGACAGTTTTGTAGGCAATCTGTAGCAGACACTCAAGGAACAGAGTATTTCAATCTTAAAAAAAAAAAAAAAATCTAATATAGAAGAGAAAAGGATGAGAAGACTCTTGAATTCATTTTAAGAGGCTAGAATAACTTTAATTTCAAAACCAGAAAAGGAAATTCCAAGACATGAAAATTACAGGCCAACTTCTAAACAAAATATTAGCATACCAAACCCAACACTAAATTAATAATATAATCAACCTGATCAATCTGAATATTTTCTAGAAATGCAAGAGTGATTCAGCACTAGAAAAATTTATAATTCACCAACCCACCATATTAAAGGAGAAAAGTGAATTAACAAGATGAAGAAAAATGAATTAGTAAATTTCAAGATTTATTCTGTCTTAAAAAACAGACAACTACATAAACAAAAAACCCCCCAAATCCTTCTAGAAATGGCAAGGGACTTCATTAACCTAATAAAGGGCACACCTACAGCTAATATTACATGATGAAATATGAACATATTTCCTTTACAATTATGAACAAGTATGCCTATCACCACTTTTACTCAACATGGTACTGGAAATCTGAGCAAGGACAGAGAAACAAGAGAAAAGAAAAAGATATAAAGATTAGAAAGGGAGAACTAGATTTTCATTATTTGCAGGCAATATTTGTGTCTACCTAGCACTGCCCCACCAAAATCTGCAAATAAATTATTTAAATTAATAAAGTAATTTAGCCAGGTTACTGGACACAAAATCAATAAATAAGTCAACTGTGTTTCTATACATAAGCAGCAATCAGAAAATGATAATCTTAAAAAATACTGAGCAGTTGTAACCAAACCCCAACAGGAACTTTTTTTTAAAAGAATTTTATATGGAAAGCAGATATCCAAGAATAGCCAAGACACTTCTGAAAAACAAGATGAAAGGACTTATCCTACTAAATATCAAGAGTTGTTACAAAGGCATGGTCATTAAGATAGGTGTTACATCACAGGAACAGACAAATAGATCAATGGAACTGAAGAGAGCCAAGAAATAAACCCGCGTGCATATGCGTATGTAAACTTGATTTATGACAGGGGCGTTACATCGGGCGGGGGGAAGGTCCAATATATGGGCCTGGGACAACTGGTTACTGACATGGGAAGAAAGTGAAATTGGTTTCCTGCCTCACACCATACATGAAAATCAATTCCTGGTAGCATAAAGGCTTAAATATAAAAAGCCAAACTATAGACCTTTGAGGAGAAAATACAGAATATCTCTACGACCTTAGGGTAGGGAAGGCTTTAACAAAGACCACAAAGCACAGACAATAAACAAAAGGATCAAGACAAGATTATAATAAAATTACGAATACCTGTTTATCAAAAGACACCTTTCCTTTGAATCTGTGTGACTGTACAATCAGATCCATTATTTTATTCTGTCTACTGCTGAAGATAATTTTTTAAAAAAAGACACCATAAGAGTAACAAAAGCAGTCCACAAACTGAGCTTGAGCTTGTATGGCCGTTAGCATAAGTGAGGCCATCTTGGGCCCATACAGGCTTTCTGCTGACCCTACCCAGGACTGTACTGCGAAGTCACTCACTCTCTGTTGTCAAGGGCTTAGCAGTTAATCGACATTGTTCAATAATCATTCGGATCAGGTGGCCTCTATACTCTGTTAGTCCCCAAACAATGAGGAAAATCTTCGCTGACATATTCCGGGCACCCACAAGACCAGTTACCTACTCATAAATCTTAGGAACGCACTTCCTGTTTCCAAGCACGTACCTCCATAGTCTAGGTCAACTATAAAACTGTCCCAATGGCCCCCTTGGTGGTTTGGAGGGCAGCTGTTAATTTTTACTGACGGTTGCCCGCCTGCTCTCAGCCTTTACAGGTAAGTTACCCTATGATAAACTGATTCACCGATTGTATGAACCTGCCTGCCGTGTTTTTCAGTCTCAAGATGCCTTCTCAGTTCAGTAAGCACTTTTCATTCCCTCCGCCCTCAAACAAAGCTATCTGCCATTTACATAAGTAAAAAAGGTATAGTGGTCAAATACATGTAAAGAATATAAATAAGAAAGACAAACAACCCAATAAGAAAATGAAGAGATATTTCATCAAAAAAAGCGAAAAACTTTCGAAAAGATGTTTAACTTCTCTAATCAGAGAAACGCAAAATTGTAATGAAATACCGTTTCAACACCCTACAGGCAGACAAAAATTATATTTTCTGATGCTATCCAATGTTGGCAAGTATGTGGGGCAACAGGAACTCTAATACTGCTGGTAGAAGTATAAATAGCCAGTAGGAATGGAAAATGCCTTTACAGCTTGCCATCATATTGTAAAACTGAACAGGCCTATGCCACATATTCCAGGAATTCAACCCCTTGTGCAAGTACACCTACAGTGTACACAAGATGTGTAGCAGTCAATCCTGGTGCTTCTAGAGTTACACAATGTCCACTGAGAAGGGGAAAGGAAAAACGTATGATACACTCTCATAACTCAATGAATAATTACAGCATCACATATCAACATGGATGAATCTCAAACCAGTCAGGTGAAAAAAGCAAGTAAAATAAATACAAATGGCATGGAGCCCTTTCTGTAAAGATCAAAAGCTTGCAGTTACACAATTGCATCAGGAAGCAGGTAGCAGGTAGTCGCTTGGCAATGGAAATATTCTATTTCTTAAACTGGAGAATGGATTCATAAATGTTGGCTTTGCTTCACAACTCACATGTGTTATGTAAATTTTTGGTATGAAACACTTCATTCTTAAGTTTTGAACATTAGTGAAAAAGGGATATTGAATGAACACACAACGGAGCTTCACAGTTATTACCTCGAGGTTTGAACAGTATGGGATTTTTACTTTATATATTATTCATTCCTGGATCATTTAAAATTTTTACAACTTAACAGGTAGTCTGTCTGGGGAGAGATGATTACAGAAAGGAAAACAAACTTTATAGGAATCTGGGGCCCATCAGGAGGAGGGGCGGAATTGTCTTCAACTTAACACAATTTTTCCAGCGTGTCCTAAATTAAAACTAGGCTTAGCATACTCTGTGGGTTAAGGCTGTAATATTTTGAGAAAATTTTCCAGCAAAAATGGGTTTTACAAGATTGGTTTTTACTGAAAGCATGCATACTTTCTCAGGAATAATTCCTGGTTTCACCTAATTTTTATTATACTTATTAGCCTTCGGCCCACTTTTCCAAAATTCTGCACTTTTCCACTTCTAGTACTGTAGACTGCCAGAGATCTTTTTCGCTGTAAATAAACTAAATAAGCAAATGATGAGTCCACTGCCGCAGGGCCCGCTTTTCCACACTCTCCACGCGCACCAGATGCCGCGCGCCCTGCGAACCCCCCAGGACTCAGGACGCCCGCCCCGCTTCGTGGTCATCGCGGTGGCCGCCGGGAAGGAGGCGTCCAGACAGCGGGGCCCAGCGACTGTCCAGCTCCGGTCCCGCCCTGAGCTCGGGCGGCAAGGACATGCCGGGGACGAGCGCGGTGGCCGTGCAGGACACGAAGGCTCGGCAGGCCCGGGGCCCCCGAGCCCGCGACACGCCGCTGCCCCGCCGGACGCGTTTCTCGCGGCATCCGTGCCTTCGCGACCCCGCCCGCGACCTCGGCCCCAGGATCGGGCGCCTTACTTGCCGCTCTCCACGCTGTGGCCGGGATGCGGCCCAGCAACGACGTGAAGCCCAGCACAACCATGACGCCAACTCCCGCGGCGTCCGCAACAGCCGCGTCTTCCCGGCACGCCCCGCGGGAGGGGCGGGGCCGCGGGGCGGGCGGGGCCTCCGCGGGGCGGGCGGGGCCTCCGTAGCCTGCGCCGGAAACCCGCGCTCCCGCACCTGGCTGTATGCAGGAAAAAGTGGAGCGGCTCGGCCTTATCATGAAGAACAACCCAAACTACCCTGAAGCTCGTGTTGATGAAAACCTCAAATCATGGCTGAAGTTGGATGAGGGAATGCTTCCGTTTGTTCCTCTCAATTTGAGGCGAAGGTCTCTTGGAAGCTCGCTGTTCCAGTCCACAAATAGTGGGCACCTTCTCTTTTGCCTGTGCAATAGGCTTCTTTCCCCTCAGTTCTCCGTCTTTATTTTTTTACATTTCTGCTTGTTCAGTGAACTCTGACCCACTGACCAGGTGGCCTGGAAGATGACGTTTGGGTGCAGCGCAGAGCAGAAGGCTCTCGTCTGGTCCAGCTGCTGGGAAGGAGAGCTGCGCATCCGCCCTCCGGTTCCAGCGGCTCCTGCCGTGTTCGGAGCACGTGTGGCAGGTCAGGAGGCTTCATGGGACCTGTGGAAAGTCTACACAGAATCACACCGGAGTCCTTCGGGTTTTTTGTTTTTTCTTCCTTCATTCCTTCCTTTTTTCCTTTTTTAGGAAAGTTCTTGGCCAGCTCTTGGGCCCTGGTGATGTCTGACCGAGTAATATCAGGTGGCTGTATAATTTGAGTTTCTCATCACGAACCGGAGTCATCTGGTCCCCCTAGATAAGGACTCCTTTCACCAGGAGGCAGTGGTATATTCGGAACGCGGCCAGAGCCAAAACCCAAGCAGTTTTCATTGGCAGGTAGCTCGGTAGCTTACATACACACGTCACCCTTAGTTCATATCTACAGTTTAGTGGTGAGCTCCTTGTGACCAGCTGACAGAGGAAAAAATTCAAAGCTGGATTACGGAGGGCTTTGCTCAATATACTGACCAGCTGGCAAATGACTGCTTTGGCATTTCGAGCTGCATTTAACAGAGGCCCTCGAGGAACAGCAGAGAGAAAAAAGATCCTCCCAGAGGGCAGAACTTTATCTTCTACTCTTTGCCTGGAAGGAGATATAGCTTGAGATAAGGATCTACCTCAATTCATGGGCACTGAAATCAAGTGATCAGGGACTGGGAAAATGTAAAGGTTTTGGAATAGGTTTTTTTGGAATTAGGACCTCTCCAAATGGCCCCAAAGCATGAGAACATTTGGGTCCCACTGAGTGCTCAAAAGAAGGCTCCCATGGCAAAAGGGCTCTTAATCAGAAACAAGATTCCTGCACGTTATCTACTGCTGTCTAACATATTATACCAACATTTTAGGGCTTAAAACAATAAACATCTATCCTCTCGCAGTTTTTGTGCGTCCGAAATCCAGGAACCAGGGCGCCTCTGGCTCTAGGTGTTAAATGAGGCTGCAGTCAGGCTGTGAGCCGGGGCTCCTGTCTCGCATGGAGGCTTGACTAGGGGAAGATCAGCTTCCGAGCTCACGCACATGATTATTGGCAGGATTTAGTTCCCTGTGCCTTTTGGACTGAAGGCCTCCCTCAGTTCCATGCTGCGTGGGCTTTTCCAAAGGTCATTTCACAACATGGCAGCTGGGTGTCCACGGAATGAACAAGCGGGAGAACAAGGGAGACTGCTCGAGATGGAAGCCACAGCCCTTCCGTAATCTAACCTCAGAGGTGAAAGCCCATCACTTTTGCTGAACTCTGTCATTAGAAGCGAATGAATTAGCAGATCCAGCCCACCTCAATGGGAGGGGATTACACTGGGGGTGAATGCCAGCAGGTGGGGATCACTGAAGGGCATTTTAGAGGCTGCTGACCACCATGACCATTCTGCAGGCATTGCTTAGCCTCCTCCCCTCACCCCAGCTGTGCTTGCTCAGTGCCCCCCTAACAAGGGAGCCACGGTGGCATGGAGACATGCATGTGTTAACATAGTATCCCCCCTGCCAAGACTGATGGGCTAGCACCACTACTTGCAGCGACCAACCCGATCGATCCCTAATATAATATGGAATAGCCTGGTGGCAGCTTTGGTTACAAGGGACTGTACTACAATGAAGGAGATAGCAATTTGTTCTATAGGAATAGACAATTATTCTGGGTTTGGATTGCTTTCCCTGACTTATGCTTCTTTTAACACTTCACCTGTGGACTTACTGAATACCTTATGTTCCGTACACTTTATGTAGCATCCCATACAACATTGTTTCCTGTGGATACAGATGCCTGTGGGATAAACCAGTCTCATCACATATCCCATCAGATCAGAAGGAGCTGGTCTCGTAGGACAGCCCTGTTACAGGTTTACTCTTGGAACCAGGTGAGAAAATGCTTTGGGATGCTGTCCTAAAGGATTTGGCATGTGCTCCAAGTGAGTTAACAGTGTTCAGTGATAGCTCTTCTGTTGACAGAATAACAGGCTCCAAAGAGCAGCAGAGGGATTGACCTCTTGTTGTGACGTCTCACACCCTGCCCATGTATTTTGCTTTCCATTATGGGAAGACACATGGGTGCCGAGCATCCCTGCGTATTATTGCTGAGTATCCCAACTGCAACTCATTGCCTGATACTGGGCAGTTTCTGCATGTGGTCATATGGGCATCTAAGTAGGTCAAGGCAACCACAGCATTGCTACCATTTAACTGCTGCTCTCCTGGGAGAAAGAACTGGCTTGTGTGCTGCTTGTGCTGCTTGTTCAAAAATGGCTTGGCCCTTGCCTCTGGATTCTTCTCCTGTAATGCAATCCAAACGGCTTGGCCCTGGCCCTGCATCGCGTGTACACGCCTCACTTGGCCCTCAGCATCACCATGGGAAATGAGGCTCTAGGAGCTGGTGTGACTGTGCTGACCGTTTGGCCACGACTCTGCTGTAGTAGGGTCTCTTGTCTCTGACCTGGGAGTCTCCTGTCTCCACGCATCCATGAAGCTGCAGCAAGACTGCAAGCAAGACAAGTAGATACAATCTCAGATCCTTCGCGGCTCACCATCCGTCTGCACGATTCCAGGTTCTGCTGGTATGCTAAGTTTGTACCCAGAGTGGGGTATAAGTGGATAGATAGTGTTTTCTCTGAATTGGAAGTTGGGATTGCCTCCTGGCCATTTGTAGCTCATGCCACTAGGTAAGGAGTTAGAAAAAGTGGTTAAGGTGCTGGCCTTAGCGATGGGCCCTGGTGACCACGGGGGAAAAGGGAGTGGGGAGAGGACTCTGTCTAGAACTTGGGGGACGTCGTCTCCTGGAATAACCTCTCACACCATGTTGAATTGTAAACATTAAGCAAAGATTATTGCAACCATATAGAGGCAAGGCCACCCAAGCCTCAGATCCTTGGGTCACACAAAAGGTAAAGAAATCTGATCAGCTGAGGTGCTGGTTGAGCACAAAGAAAACAGGGAATAAGTGGCACTGGTGACAGGTCATAGCCATCTAGCTTAATGGCCAGTGGCAGAACTGAGGGCTCTATTTACCGTAGTTTTGTTTTGGTTTGAAATCAGAGAGCTTTGGGACATAAAACACACTGCTCCCTATATCCTACCCTGGAGATTCTGCTTCAGTTGGTCTGTCCTGGGGCCCTGAAGTTCACCAAGGAAACTTGCAAAGCACTGCTCTAGCTGTAGTTTCTTCCTCACTGGCTCATGCATGTGCTTATGTAGTTAATAATTTCTTTTCTCTCCTTGTATATTGGCGGGGGGGGAGTGTGTGTGATAAAGTCACAGTTTTGTCTGTGGGCTGCACACCACTGAGGCAAGATCATTACAAAACCAGACGACAAATGGACGTAACACTGAAATCCTGGACTTGAAACTGGATGGGGGATAATAGCAGTATGTCAGGATGAAGCATTTAAACAATGTGTGAATATGATATTTGTGATGTTGGAAAGGCAAAGAGATGGACTGTAGTAGATCTCTGATGTGTTTTTCTATTTGGTGCTCAGTCATCGAACCCATTCCACAGGTTTAGTGAATTCTGGCAGGAGAAACAGTCCCATCTTCTGCTGGAGAAGCTGATGAAGTCCGATATACTCACTGTCTTGGGTGCCTGACAGCCTGGGTGCTGGCACGAGACTAAGCCTGTCAGTCGTATGATCTCACCAGACTTTGAATCTGGAACGAGTGATGGAAGTAAGTGGATGTCTGGGATCCAGTTTTCAGAGGCATCCCTGCTGGCAGAAACATACACAGACCTCCAGCTCCCCTGGAGTTGGAACTTGCCTATAATTTTGGTCATAGTCTAGCTTCCTCGGTTTCTACCAGTTTTCCAAGAGTGGTTCTCCAGCCTTTCCGTCAAGTCTGTGAGCTCCCTATATTCTTCCAATAAATTCTTTTTCTGCTTAAGTTAATCACAATGGTTTTTGTTGTCTGCAACTCAGAATTCTTACTGGTATACACTTCAATGAGATTTATTCTCTAAGGTCAGTTATGATCATTGACCCTCTCCCTCAGAATCCCACCCCACCCCTGCACTCTGAATTTGGAGGCATTCAGCATATGACAGTTTCCCTGGTAAATGATAAGTTAAATCTGTTAGACTTGAAACCATAATCACTGATGTGCTTTTAGAACTATTAAAACAACCAACAACCAATCAACCTACTATGATCATAAGAGCAGTTTTCCCTTAAAAACAATGATATGATTATGAATAAGAATGAATACTTTGATAAATCTGGAAGATTATTCAAACTTAGAATAAGTTGAACTTCTTTTTTTAGTTAAAAAAAAGAAATAAAAGAAAAAAACTATGGTATTTCAAACTCAGGACCAAGGAATGTGAAGATGAAAAATGTCTATAGCAAAAATAAAAATATACCTCTAGTAACTATTCTGAAAATAAGCAAGTGTTTTAGCTGTCCCTCCAGATAGTCATTTGTTCATTTATTAGCAGCAGAGGCAATAACACAATGCTAAAAATAAACATGCATCAGTTGTACAATACACACTTACAAAAGCCTATCTATCCTTAGTGCATTATTTTTTTCACAAGTAAAACAGGAAAGGAAAATAGTGAATTTAATGCTATTCAGCACCTTGAATAAAGTCATAAGACTTTACATCTCCATATATCAAAACATTTGCATCTGTATCACCAAACATGTAAAGTTAATTATTTTGTTCCATTTGAAACATGAATTATTTTATTTACATTACTCTTTAGTTCAACAAATTTTAACAATATTTAAAAATTATCTAAATTCATAAAAGTAGTTCATAAATTTCAACATTTAATTATTATGTA